CTAACACTGTAGGCACCTAATCTCACTCAGCACCTAAATTTTCACTGTAAAAGTGCCCTAGCTGTCAAAGTTTGTGCCTCTGGACATGGCGTTGCTCCCTCAGGCAGGTGACCTGACACCTGTCTCATGCCTAAACCCCAGTGTGGTCTTTAATCCAGGTGAAAGTAGGTGTTAGCCTGCCTAGCTTGCTTGCTGGGCCCAATTCAGCGAGCATGTCTAACTCTTCACAAAATGGCCACGAGGAGGAGACCTCCCTTTATAACCTTTAGCTCCTCAGTGGTTAGGATACTCACCCCAGATACAGGAGACCCTGTTTCAATTCCCCCCTCTGCCTTGTGAGGAGAAGGGATTTGAAGAGGGATCTCCCACTTCTCTGGGGAAAGCTCTAACCACTGGGCTATGGAATATTTTGAGGTGGGTCTCTTTTGCTGAAGCCATTCCACTTTTTGTATTAAATAATTAAATATTAATGGGGCTAGACAAAGAGTGAGAATGTGCTGGCGTTTATGGATTCTATTCTCAGGTGCCTACCTCTCCTCATAAATTGAATAGGGAACCTAGTTCAAGGTTTGTGAATTCCAGTGATTTTTCCAAGGTGCCTAAAAGTTGGGTTTGTGGATCTGGGCTTTTTCTCTTAATAGTCTTTGTACATCACCCACAACAGGTATTTTCATCCAGTATTAGCTCTTACTGCATGCTGTGTTTTAGGTAGATGAATTTTGGCATATTGTGACTCTTTCTCAGGGTGTCCAGAACCAGAGGTCAACGTGTTACCTCCTGCCTCAGTAAGAGACATACTTGCTGTCTTTCAGTTCCCTGGCACTCATGGTCAGTTAGCCACCCAAACAAACTCCTCAGAATTTTTCCAGCCCTTACTTTGCCTGCAGGTTAAGTCTTGGTGTATCCCAGTCCCTGAACCTTCCACAAGCATCCCTCCCCGCCTCCTCCGCCCCGGTAGTGTCCAGCCACTGTCGATGGACACTCTCAGTAATTACCAGGTAAACTGTCCCTAAAGAGATAGCGTACACATGGCTAGGTGTTTACACAGCTGGATGGTTACAACTCAGGATTAGGTCCTTTATAGCAACACAGCACTGTAATTGTTTTTTAACAAAGAACAGAGATTCACAGATTCAAATGAGTATTGAGAAAGAGTAAGGGAAACAAAAATGGTTACAAATAAAACAAAACTATAACACACTTTCCAGAGATAAAAACTTAGGCTGCAACCCTTGTCTAAAGTAGTTTCTCACCCTCAAAAGTCTTTCTGTAGAGCTTGCTTGTTTTCAGTCAATCTAGGATCTATTCCTTCACAAATCATCCCCTGCACTAAGGATGTTCCTCAGTGAAATGGATAATGGGAGTTGTTCGTGCATCCCTGTTATAGCCCAGTAAACGTCTGAAAGCATTCCTGCTGTTTATTCTCCACGGTGCTGGTGCCATATTGTGTTCACATCCCTCCTCCCCCCTGTCAACCTGTTTTTCCTGTTGACTTTACATGCAAATGTAGCTCCCATTGTTTTTGGCTCATGATGCTTAATTTACATGTGACAGTGATACCTATCTTTCCTTTTGGAAGCCTCTTTCTCTGTTTGTTTGGTTACAGACTTTAAAGCATATCATCAGTACATGTACACAGTTCCTCATATAGTATTAATACATATTCTTCACATTAATGATATTAATGGCCAGTGTGTCATTGGCTTTCATTTCATACCTCACACAACATTCTTTATGGATAACTACTGTGACAGCAATGTGTTAGGTGCAGTGAGTTTGTCAGGCCTTATTGGAGTTGCTGACAGAACAGTGAGCCCTTTGCCAGTTGGCATTGAGGGCTTCTTAGTGTCAGACATAGGCTATGTCTACACTACAGACCTTACAGTGGCACAGGTGTACCGCTGCAGATGTGCTGCTGTAAAGTCTCCTGTGTAGCAGCTCTGTGCTGACAGGCAAGAGCTCTCCTGTTGGCATAATTAAACATGGCGCTGTCCACACTGGCACTTCTGTTGGTGAAACTTATGTCAGACAGCTGTGTTTTTTTTCACATCCCTGAACAACAAAAGTTTTACTCGTACTAGTGTAGACATAGTCATATGCTGTCATGTTGTTTTCATTATAGCAACTACAAACCCACAAATGATGAAAAATCTGCCAGCTGCAGATTTCTGATCTGGAAATTTAGTTAAACTTTGTAAAAACTTAGTTTGATAATTTTTTTCTGTAGTTGACGTTTGCTGGAAAGCCCCTGAAATTCAAGCTGTTTTTCAAAACACGACAGTACATGCTTGGAAAAAGAAAACTTTTCCACTCAATGCAAAGCACTGAACCAAAGTGCTTATTCACCATGAGTCAGCTGAATTTCAAATGGCTTCTCGCAACAAGATCATTGTGAATTTACTCTTTCACACAGTTGCTCACTGCAATTATTTGACATAAAGGATGCATAATAAAAACTAGCTTTACATTCACTGTACTTGGATAACTCCTTTCAGGGCAATGGGTCTCCAGTAAGTGGGATCTTGTCCTGCAGAACTTTTCTGTTGCCCATCCCCTGCCTGTTTCCAGTTCCCATTATTCCATCAATACAGGCCTCAGGTAGCTGTAAACTCTGAAATAATCACATGTCTGTCTGTCTGTGTTTTACACCACACTCATCACCATAGCATCTGAGCATGAAATTCTTGCCCCATAGATGTAAATGGTAAAATCCCCATTGGCTTCAAGGGGGCCAGGATTCCACACTGAGAAAGAATTCTGTCTGCAAGTGGGTGAAAACAGGAGGCTGAGAAATTTAAACTCCAGACAGTTTGCTGAGATTATATTTGCACCAGGTATTCTGGGTTTTCCCGGGAGTCCAAGATATTAGTGACTTTTATACATAAAGGGCCTACATTTTGCTGTGGTGTTCCTCAAATTCTGTTTCTGTCAGTCTCTCAGGAAAAGACAAATTATCCTCTCTCTTCATCCTGTGTAGTTCCCCCCCTTTTTTTAGGGTTGGGAGTGGCTTTTCAATCTCTACAATGTCAGGGCAAATTTAGAAAATAAATTTTAAGACAATAGGGGAGCATTTGGGGTCTGTAAAGATATATAAGATGTGGATAAGGCCTTTGCGGCACTTAAATTCATTGTCTCATAGGCGTTGGGTAAATGTATTCACTTTATAATTAATTAAGAAGAGGTTCAGAATTCACTGGAATGAAAGCTGGTGCTTTCTGATTGCTGGATTGAACAAAATCTCTTTTAACTGAGCTCAGAGGAGTTATATTGAAGCATTATTTATCTTACAGTATCCTTTGCTAGTATGTAACATTCTTTAATTATATGAGCCAGTATCAGTTTGCCCTGTCCTGGTCATTGTTCAGCCTTAGGCACAACATTCCTCACTTAACTAAAGCCTTATTTAAATCAAGGGATTCTTCATTTTTATCCATTTAATTTTGTATTCTAGGATTTTTTGTTCTGTATAATCATATTTTAGAGTGTAGTGGATTTGCAGATTAAGAAAATATGGCCAGATTCTCTGCTGCTCTAAACCTGTGTAGCTCCATTGATTTCAATTGAGTTGTGCTCATTTGAACGAGCTGAGGAGTTGGCCCATAATTTTTTACATTCATTTTCGTTTACTTTATAAATGCCTGAACTGGTCATTGATCGTGTTCATGCATTCTAAATGTGGCATATGTCCCCCCACCTCTGTCCTTGAACTAGATCTGCTGGTGCAAGCCATGGTAATTCCAGTGAAATTAATGGAGATGGGTGATTTACAGGAGTTGAGCATCTCGCCCCCTTTTTCGCTTGTGTTGGACTTTCTCCTCCAAAACACACACGCACACATGCCATTTTTCTCTTCTTGTTCAATGTTATTAAGGGCGTTGGGTTTTTAGCTATCATATCTGTATGAGTTTTAGACTGTTTTAGGTATGGGTTTTTCAGTACCCTGAGCATTCCTATGTGGGATGGGGTGGGACAGGATGGTAAAGTACAGTTTTGTTACCGAGTATTGGCATTTCTGTGATGCTCATCACTGTGGTGTGCCAGCTTAGTATTGGAGTACCAGGTTTAGTAAGGAAACATTGCATACAACATGGAACAAGTACAGTGAATGTAAAGCTGTTTGCTTCTTAACTGTACAAAAAGTGCTACCCAGGAATCAATTTTTTTCTCGGTCTTCACAACTGCAGTTAATCCTTGTCTCACAAGATGCCTCTGCTTTGTTCGTTGTGCCCATTTGTCTGCAGGCTATTGCTTCCCTTCTCATTGCTGCTGTCTCTGCAGAGCAAGTAGTTTCCCTTCCCATGCTCCCCTCTCTCTCACTCTTTAGGATAAATTACTTCCTTTCCTAACACCACTACTCTCCTTTCATGATGCTTGTCTTTCCTTTGCACCACTGCACTCTGTAGACAGGGCCCGTCCCTCTTTTTGTGCTGATCAGGTTGCTTCCTTTCTCGCTGTCTAGACTGGGGTTCTCACAAGAAATTTTTTGGTGGCCGCTCTGACGGTTTTTCCTAAAATACTTAATTAACTTTAGGAAAAACAAATAAATATGCACATATCCATGTCCAAATCATTGTAATTTATTTATGTAGGGTTTTTTCAGACTCAGTAATAAAAATTATATACAGTTGTCTCTATTCTTTACTGGACCTAAACCGAATAGAACCATAAATAAGGTGCTTTGCACATCCTTGCCTTTTTTGTAGTTGTTTCTTTTGCTTTTTTTTTTTTTTTTTTAGACTTGCTAAGTAGTAAGTCTGCTCCTGTGAAGACTGATATTTGTAGGTTTGTTAATATCACTTTTCATAGCAGACTTACTCAACCCTGGCAAGCGGGGGAACAAATTAAGCTGTGAATGGAGAGGTGGGTAGGGAGGCAGTGGGGACCAGGGGCAATGGAGGGCTGGGGAGATACTGGAGGTTAGTGATTTGGAGGCTTTCTGAGCCTGAGAAATCCTTTCCACTGGTATTAAATGTATTTGCACCTGGTAGGTAAATTATCCAGGTACTTCACACTGACGCTCTGCAGGAAGACTTCACAGACCTGTTGAGGGTCATAGAAGTGTAGTACTGTAAGGGATTTCAGTAGGTCATCTAGTCCAGTCCCTTGCACTCAAGGCAGGACTACATAATAACTAGACCACTCCTGACAGGTGTTTGTCTAACCGGTTCTTAAAAACCTCCAGTCACTGAGATTCCACAGCCTCCCAAGGCAATTTGTTCCAGTGCTTAACCACCCTGACAGTTTGGAAGTTTTTCCTAATGTCCAACCTAAACTGTCCTTGCTGCAATTTAAGCCCATTGCTTCTTGTCCTGTCCTCAGAGGTTAAGGAGAACAATTTTTCACTTTCCTCCTTGTGACAGCCTTTTATGTACTGGCAGTGATGCTGGAACACTTTTTGTAGTGGGAGTGCTGGAAGCCAGCTAAGGAAACTGTAAAGAAGTGGTCCCCAAATGTTTTACCTCGCACCCCCCTTACGCCTGTCTGTGCTCCCCCACCTCCCAGAGCCAGGGCTCTGGGAGGGGGACACGGACAGGGGTAAGGGGGCCAGGAGCTGGGGCTGGAAGCAGAGCTGCGGGTGCGGGGCCAGCTGCTGGGACCCAATGTGGGGCCAGGAGTGGAGCCCTGGGCATGGGCTGGAGGTGCTGCAGCACCCCCTACACTCCTACTTCCCACACCTATGTGTAGCAGAAAACTGTTATCATGTCCCCCCTCAGTCTTCTCTTTTCCAAACTAAACAAGCCCAGTTTTTTCAGTCTTTCCTCACAGGTCATGTTTTGTAGACCTTCAATCATTTTTGTTGCTCTCCTCTGGACTTTCTCCCATTTGTCTTCATCTTTGTCTTCATCCAGACCTGGACACAGTACTTCAATTGAGGCCTTATCAGCTTGGAGTAGAGTGGAAGAATTACTTCTCATGTCTTGCTTCTCGTGTCATGGGATACTATGTGATAATATTAAGTATAGATGTGTTAGTATGATTAGTTTTTATGCAATACACTAGAACCTCAGAGTTATGAACTGACCAGTCAACAATACACCTCATTTGGAACTGGAAGTATGCAATCAAGCAGCAGCAGAAACAAAATTTTTAAAAAACCCGAAATACATTACAGTACTGTGTTAAACATAAACTACTAAAAAATAAAGGGAAAGTTTAATAACAAGATTTGACAAGGTAAGGAAACTGTTTCTGTGTTTGTTTCATTTAAAGTAAAAGGGTTAGAAAGCTGCATTTTTCTTCTGTATAGTAAAGTCTCAAAGATGTATTAAGACAATGTTCAGCTGTCAACTTTTGAAAGAACCACTGTAACGTTTTGTTCAGTTACAAACATTTCAGAGTTATAAACGACCTCCATTCCTGAGGTGTTGGTAACTCTGAGGTTCTACTGTATCTCCTTGATGTGCATTATTATTTATTGATATAGCACTATCAATATGCATGGCACTTTACAGATAAGTAAAATACCATGGGCTCTGTAATAATCCCATTCAGGGCCAGTTTCTGATCCCCCTTATCTGCATTAAATTGCATGTTTCAGTATGATTACGTGTGAGTAAGGGAATCAGCATCTGGCCATAAACTAGTAGTAGTTTTATCACCGACTTCAGTAAGAGCAGAAGCAGACCAATGTTGCTGAAGGGCTCACAGCATAGGGGCCTGAACTTGCAAATGCGTGCTCACAACAGTAGTCTCGTTGACTCCATTGGGACTACTCATCAAGTAAGGACTACTTGCCTGAATAAGAGAGTTCAGGATCATGTCCTAAGTTAAAATACAGCACGAAAGAGTGACAATATTAAGGGAAGGGAGAGGAAGGACAAAGGTTACAGAAGTAGAATTTTTTGGATACGTAACTGTTTCATATTTTTTTTTTTCCTCATTTGCAGGAAGTCCAAGAAAAGGCCTCTCTTTTTCTTATGCAGTTGGACTTAACTGGCGCAGTTCCCAGCATTTTGGTTGCCATTGTCCTTGTAGCTGATGGGGATCGTCATGGACGCAAAAAATCTTTAGTTCTGCCTTCAGTGGGAGCTTTTATATCCAATGCTTTCCTCGGTGCATTCTCGTATTTCTCCCTATCCCTCTCTATTTTCTTTGCAGTTGTATTTTTTGGTTCACTGTTTGGAAGCATGGCAACTTTCCTCGGAGGAGCCTTTGCCTTTATAGCTGACCTATGTAATGAAGAGAAGCAGAAAACGATACGTATAGCTGTGGTCGATTTGATTTTTGGACTTGTATCTGGATTAGCAGGACTGACTTCCGGCTACTTCATAAGAGGATTAGGCTTTCCCTGGACATTTGTGGTTGCTTCTCTGCTTCACTTTATTAATATTTTCTATATTACATTTTGGCTGGAGGATACAGTACGTGTACCTGAATTCCAGCAACATGCATTAGTATCTTGTACTGAAGGCCTTAAAGAAACATTTTCTGGAGTGTACATGCTTTTTAAAACTTCCACTTATAAAAAACGAACTTTAATCATTGTATTGCTTTTTACATTCATGATGTATTTTTTTACCTTGATTGGTGGGAGTTCTCTTTTTACATTGTATGAACTGGACGAACCTCTCTGCTGGAATGAACTCTACATAGGATATGGAGCAGCTGCATTCACTTCTGTTTCTCTGACCAGTTTTTTAGGAATATACTTTTTTTCACATTGTCTCAGGGACATCTATATTGTCTTCATTGGGATATTTTCTTACATTGGAGGAATGGTCATGGCTGCCTTTGCCAAAACTACACTGCTCATGTTTTTAAGTGAGTTCAAAAGCAGGCCCTTTAGATTCATGAAATACGTGAAAATTGTTATATTCTATATAATTAAGCCAGCTGATCCCTTAAAAAAACCTAAAGATATGTTTAAAAACAACAACAAAAAAGTAATGTTCAATCAAATCCATGTTGGATTTTAAGTGTAAATTCAAAAATGAAAAGTGTGACAAGTTAATGAAAGCACTTCCTTATAACTTTTTGCTTTTAATATCACATATATACACTGGATTTATGAATGTTTCTCTGTGCTAAGATAATTTAAGATGATTGTGTCACATACAATAGTAGTTATGGTTTGAATCTTCTATTGCTTTTACTATTTGGGGCCTTCAGTACATAAAATGCAGTTAGACCATTTAAAAAAAATGGCAGTTCACCTTTAAATTCTAAAAGTGCTGTTACCTGAGTGACTCATGACTAATTATATTGTTTTGCAGTGAGAGTGCCCTCTCTCCTATGTTTTATGCCCATTCCAGTTCTACGGTCCATGATGTCAAAAGTGGTTCTGACTAGTGAACAAGGTGAGTTGAATTTATTAAAGAAACACAGTCATTAGGCATCTTCAAACAAATAGGCTCTAAATTATAAAATGTTTTGAACATATTTGTGTGCAGAGTTTCCTTTTTTTTTTTTTTTTTGCTTGTACTAGCTTTTAAAGGTAATTTCTTTAATTTCAGGCTCTATCTATTATCACACTACTTTATTTCAGTAAAATCCTTGTGACTTTTGTTTCCAAGTTAATGTAAACAAGATTAGATGTTAACACCTGGTCAAAATTTCTCCTTTGGGGAAAAAAACAAAAACCCTAAAAGATTGGTTAGCGTTTTGGTTAAAAATAGTGACCCTCTGAAAACTTGAAGTGGAGTTAAAGATTTGTTATACAGTTGTGACTTGACAAGTGCTTTTAACATTCGGCAAGTTTTCACATTCAGAGAGATAAATAAATCTCATGTTTAGTCAGCCATTACACAGGGTGAACGGCCAATCTTTGAAACACTTGAAAGGATGAAAAGAAACAATTAAGGACTGTGATACTGAGTTGTGCACCACTGCCTCATGGCTATAGTAAATTTCCCAGAGGACATAACATCAATTCTTACCTATGTAAAACCATGGATGTTTAGATTTCAAACTAAAAACACTTTATATAGTGTAGTGCAGAAATGAAGCCTGTTATTCTGGAAGGATTTCATTGATTTTTTTTTTTTTAATTTTAAAGATGGTAAAGAATAGCTTATTGTTTGAAGTATGTATGTACCATATTTTGGCACCTTTAGCTCCGAATGCTCTCACAGAATTTTGAGTAGCCAAACTGATACTTTGTGAAAGTGCCAGATCATTTATTGCAAAGGAGTTTCTCTTAAGCTATTCATATTGATAATATATTTAGTGAAACAAAGATGTTTTTATCTGTACTGGTCTCTAATCATTCACATTGCCAAGGAACTACAAATGTGGAAATATCTTTCTTTAGGATTGCCTATAGTTGAGTGGCTTGATGTAGGAGACAGTTTGCCTTATAGTGATTGACTCAAAGAGCTCATTCTATTTAGCTTAACAAAGAGAAGATTAAGGGGTGACTTGGTTACTGTCTATTTGGATCTACATGGGGAACAAATATTTAATAATGGGCTCTTCAATCTAACCGAGAAAAGTATATCAGAATCCAGTGGCTGGAAGCTGAAGCTAGACAAATTCAGGCCAGAAATAAAACATAATTTTTTAACGTTGTTTGCTGTTAACCATTGGAATTATTTACCAAGGGTGATGGTGGCTTCTCCATCATTGGCAATTTTTAAATCAAGATTGGATGATTTTCTAAAAGATCTGCCCTAGGAATTTTTTTGTGGAAGTTCTATGACCTTTGTAATGCAGGAGGTCAGACTGGTTAATCACAATGGTCCCTTCTGGCCTTGGAAACTATGAATATGTGAATTTATGCTGAATTATTAGTCATTTTATCTATATAGCACCATGAGCATATATAATGCTGTGGCATGGGCAAGCATGCCAAAAGAAGACATTCTTTCCTAAAGAATATACAGTCTAAAGGTGTAATCTGGATGGAGTATAATACAAAAAATGCAGACAAATGTAGGAATTTTTTATTTCTGGAAATGGAGGAAGAGGATAGAGGCACTGAAGTCTTGATCCAGCAAAGCACTTGCTTTGTTGGATTAGACCCGTGTTGAACATTAGCTGGAAGCTGTTCAGCATATAAGAGGTAGCATGAACGAAACAACAAAGTTGGGAAAAGATGGACATAGAGAAAAAATAGAAGAGGAGAGCAGGAAAAGGGAAGATATAGTGGGTGGAGTTGTACAGAACTTTGCAAGTGAGAATGAGTCGTTTGATATGGAAGGACAGTGAGCGTTACTGAAAAGATTCAAGAAAGGAGATACATGGGCAGAGTGGTCGTAAAGATAATCTCCACTGGCAACACGCTCTTGTCTCTTAACAAATAATAATTTTGAAGGTGGTTCTCCTCCCCTCCGCCCCCCGGGTAAAGCATTCTAATAGTGAGATGCTGCACAGTAATTGTACGATGTGGAATTGTAACTGTAGTGGATCTTTTGTATTTTTTTATTAATCCTCTTCTCTGACCAAAGTGAATGACTTTAATTTCAATACATGCAGAGCACTGTATTGTTATCCAGATATTTTTTATTTTGACAGGTGCCATGTTTGCTTGCATTGCCTGCTTGGAAGTTATGACTGCTGCCATTTCACTCACAGTTTTTAATAGTCTCTATGCAGCCACTGTAGCTTGGTTTCCAGGCTTTAGTTTCCTCTTATCAGCTGGTCTTTGTATAATTCCCCTGGGCATCTTGTGGTAAGTATATATCATAAGATTTTTTTATTAGAGTAGAAATATATTTATGTATGAAGTGAAGCTGGGTGGTTTAGTGGATAAATGTTGCCTTTCACCTGTTGGCTCCATATTTAAGTCTAACTTGAGTTTCCTAATATGGGGCTAAATTCTACCCCTGGATGCATGTGTGTAGCTTCCATTGGCATGAGTGGGAGCCCTGTTTGAGTGTGTGCATCCTGAGGGAGAGTTTGGCACAAAATGAGGGTAATTGAGCTGTATGAAAGCAGAGAGCTCAGTTTTGTTGTATATTCTTACCAGAGGGAGTTTTATGGGCCTGATCCAAAGCCCACTGAAGTGAATGGGAGCATTTCCATCCAGGCCCCTTTGCCTTGATCCTGCCCCATTAAAATCAACAGGATCTTTGATATTGACATTTACTTCACTGAGCATGGGATCAAGCCCTGTGTGGACAAATCTCCATGCATATCAGAAAAGCTGGGGGAAAGACAAACTTATGTCATATTTACCCACACTCAACCAGCTGTATTTCAGTAATATTCAGGACAAATTACACCTTTCCTTGGCATTCATGATATCTGAATTCACTTGCATTCTCTCTAACGTAAACTATGCATCTGAGACTTTGAAACATGAATGGAGTTGACCCAGTTCATGTATATTCTTAGATTCATAGAAAGTTAAATATTTACTAAGAGGGATAGTGTTATTCCTCCTGAAGTCTTGTACCTTTTCACCTTGTGCTTAAACTTCACCTCAAATACCTTTTGTTCTGGATTAGCTGAGTTTTAAGATCAGAGTAAAAAGAAAAGGAGGACTTGTGGCACCTTAGAGACTAACCAATTTATTTGAGCATAAGCTTTAGTGAGCTATAGCTTACTTCATCGGATACATCAGAGTAGTGAGACGAGAAGAACACTTCCGACTTCAGTGCCTTTCAACATTTCAGAACGTTGGACCTGATTCACTACTGCATCACTCCAGCTTTATGCCACTCTAATTCCATTGAATTACCCTGGCTTTAAACTGGAGTAATATATCAGTGATTCTGAACCACTAAGTTTAATGGAGTTGGAAGATAGAGTCTCATCCTGGAAGTGGAGAGTATTTTAGAACATAAAGATACTGAGGTTCTCAAATACTCTGTTAATGGGGCCATATGAGTACCTTAGATATAGAGAGCTATAACAATCTATAATTTCCAGAATAACAGGGAAATCTCCTTTCAAAAAGGCAGGGTTTTCTGTACAAAGGGTCATAGACACATACCAGTAAATTAATCCATCTTGGATCCAGAACTATAGAATAGCATGATAGTTATTTCTGAAGGTCCTCTCTTCCCTCTCCACTCCAGATTGTGCCTTATCTGTGGTATACTGCCTTTAGAATAACCTCACTCACCCTGAGAAACCATCCTTTCTGAGGTGTCAGAGCAGAAACTGCAGCTTGTTTCAATTTGTGCTAAATCAGGCATGCTGGCTTAGTGCTTTTCACAGAGAACCCAAATGAGATTGTCTAACTTATGTTACATAGGGCAAGTATTATCATTGCTTTATTTATTAAGCCACCTGGACCTTTCTGTGCAGAAAGCCATTGGGTGGTGTTGGTGCTGATTCAGCATACTGTACATTACTGTCTTGCTAAACATGTCTTAGTGTCTTCTCTCTCTCTTTCAGCTGGCTTATGTGCACCCGTTGGCATGAGGAGGACTTGGCATCACTTGTATATGAAGAACAATCCAGTGAAGAGAGTATTGAGAGTTGAACGAAGAATTTAACTACCTTGGTTTTCTAGTCTGTTGTGCATGATACAACCTGTTACATACACGCTGATAGGGGAATGGGTGTGACAGTTGTAGATGAAATCTGGACAGTAGCCCTGTAAGTTACCATAAAACTGTTAGCATTTCCAGTCTTTCTATTTTATGCTAGAATGAGTTTAATCCTTATACTTAACTATGCAAATAGGGTGAGAGTGGAGGGTCCTTATCAGTTTTTAAAGTATAGCAAAAATGTTTGATTTATGAATAAGAATTTAGAATGACTTATTTTTTTTACATGCTGTGCTCTTGGATTTACAAATAATATCTCTTTCAGAATTAAGAGAAAATAAGTGAAAGCCATATTTTGTTGTGTCTCAGGTTTGAAAATGATTTTAAGTGAGGCATATGATGCAGCTGTGTGATCTATACTTGTGTGACAATGATAGTTTGCCAGATTATCAGCTTGTATAAATCACTGTAGTTCTGTTGAAGCCAATGGAGTTATGCCAGTTTGCACCAGCTGAGGATCTGGCCTATAGTGTGCATCTCAAAGGACTTTTGTGTTACTGTGGGGCCTGTAGGACAGTCAAAAATGAGCAAACTATGTGTGTTCTCTTCCAAAAGGCAAAACTGGGAAAATTCTGGCATATACTGTAAATTAAACCATTTTTCTGCAGGTTTAATTTATATGTGAAACATTTGTGAGTGTGGAACTCACCTGTAACTTTGTTCTCAAGATGGGTTTTCCCTCTAATGTTGTAATGTGAATAACCTGTGCCAATGAGAAACCAGCATGGACTCTTTCCAATGCATTCCTTCTCATGGCAGCTAGATGCACTCATTCCATTGGTGGGATCTGTGATATCGACATTTGGCCAGTTGGAACTAGTTTGAGGTTAACTCATTTCATACACAACATCAACCAGCTGCAATATTGTGGTAACTTTTGCTCATTGCCTTCAATTTACACTCTAATCTCTAGTCGTATTCCTACAATCATTGGATGGACATGGACAAAGTCTCACTCATGAGTAAGTTATTAATTTTATATAGAAACTGTTGTGCCAGAACAGACTCATAGTCTATCCACTCCTTGTCCTGCATGTGGCAGTAACCACAGTGAGAAGGGATATCTGTTCCTGACCCTAGCTAGCGACTGGTCTATGCTGTGAAGTAGAAGGGATTTTTTTCTTAGTTATTTTAACTGCAGATGTTCTTCTACAGAGCCAGATCCTGGTCCATTTAAGTAACTGAGAGTTTTGCCATTGATTTCAACAGGACCAAGGTCTAGCCCTAAATGTTTAAGCCTTTTAAATAATCTGTTAAATAATTTGTTTCAATAATATTCTAGGCTAATTATAGAGGCTGTGATTCTGCAAAGACTTAAGCACATGCATTTTCAGCACTTCAAATATTACTTGCATTGTGTAAACTCAAGTATGTGCATAAGCCAGATTGTATAAAAGGTTTTTGTTGTTTTTTTTTAAACCAGTTCTAAATATGCTGCCTTTTAACTTCATCGTGTCCTTCCCCCCCCCCCCCATTATGGGGCAAGATATATATACCATTCATTTACCTACATCATAGCTCCATTTAAATCATTGTAGCATCTTTAAGAGCTCCTCTCTTGAAAGACCATAAGATCTTTCTCTTCTGTGGATCTTTTTTTATTTCTTTTATAACCTTGGTGAAGTGACTAAATCTGATCCACACATCTAATTGTTTTGCACTGAATGCACTCTAATTGTAATTAGAACTTATATAGCACTTTTCATCTTCAAGGCACTTTACAATTATTTAAGTAATGAATTCTCACCCTCTGGGGTAGATATTATCATCCCTGTTTATGAGATGAGGAAACAGAGAGGTTAAGTGACTTATCCAGGGCCACAGAGCAAGTTAGCACCAGAACTGGAATTCAGAAGGAATTCCTGGCTCGTTGGTCTTGCAGTATGATAGCTTTATGCGCAAGTCAGGCAGGCAATTGCATTATATAACGCACAACTCTGCCCTTCCCTTCTCACCCTGTTTTTTAAAAAAACCCATAGATAATTATTAAGCAGAGATTTGGTACAGTAATTAGAATAAAGTAAATTGGTTGGAGTTCACTTTAGCCTCCATATTAGGAAGGATGTTATTTTAGGAAATCAACTGTGAAATGTGAACTAACTGTATATGCACATACACTTTAAACAGCAAAAGGACAGAATTCGGGTAAGAGAAACCTCTTTGTTACCATATAGGAGAGACAGACGACAGACCACAAATCTGCACAACTCAAATGACCTTCCTCTCTTCTTTCAAATTCACTTTAAGAACACCCTACTTGGCTTTAGCAAAGCCTTTCAGAGGTAATCCACCAAAAATATTGGCACCATATCAAGATTGGTGCTAAAAAAGGTGTATATTATGTGTATGATCTAGACTGCAGACTCTTCAGGACAAGGACTTTTTGCCTTCCTTTACTTTTGTACAACTCCAAGTACACTGGTGATGCTCACTAAATAGAGAGCATAAGTTCACAGGAGAGTCTAAGGACTCTTAAACACAAACTGAAAAAAGCACTTGAGTTGTAAACAACTTTTTGCTTTTAACAAAAGCAAGGACATTTTTTCCATAAGAGTGCTGTGATGATTTTTTAGGCTCTTCATATAGACCACACACAATTCTGATCTGCCTACTCTGCTCATACAGGTTATATAATATTTTCTGGTGTTAACTATGTAGAGTGAAGCTGCTGTGTAGAAGTTAATAGCTCCTGAAAAATGTAGTGATTCAAAAAAGAGGAACGATACCTTCATTCATTTCCCATTCTTTATGGAGGTTCTGTCATTGTCCCTGGCAATCTGAAAAACCTAGTTCTACAATGGGACATTCCATTGGCCCAAATGAGAATTTTCACACACGATCATATTACATGGGTGGGAGAATGCAACATTTTATGTCAATTTTGCAGCACACAATGTATAAAACCATGTTTTGTGGACTTGTCTATATGGAGATGCAAAATATTTCTGGTGAATATAGCACGTAAAATAAGCACGATTAAAATAAGTAGGAGATTATGCCAAAAGGTATGTAGAATCATTTCTCTCATTTATCTGTATATAGCATGAGACACCAGATGGGTTGAGGCCTCCAGGCACTCCTGTACTATACATTTTTAATAATAAAACCTTAAATTTTGTAGCAATTGAGTGATTTGAGAAGTGAAATTTTTGTAAAAATGCAAGCACCCTTTTGCTATAAGTCAATAAAGCAGAGATCTGTCTAGTCTTCTAAACGTTTGGCTCTTGTTCTTTTGACAGATAAGCATGCACAAAGCAATACAATTGGTGGAGTAATATTTAGAAGCAGCTCAGGCCACCACCATATTGAATTTCCTTTGCAGCTAGTGATACAAAATACTATGTACTTGACACTCAAGTGAAATGACTGGAGATCACATCGTACGCAAACAAAACAGCATGTGAGCTAATATGGGCTAGCCTTTCACAGTTTTTACATGGACAGTAAAAATGCTATTCCAAAATGCTGTTTTGTTTTGTAACAAGACTCCCTGACTCCTGCAGCTCTCCAGTGAAGCAGACTGGAAATTCCACAACCTCCTCAGGTAATTTAGAAATTGAAGGTTTTTTTTCTTTTTACTAAGTTAAATATGAAAAATAATGCAGTCAGGAAAGTATCCTTTCTGGAGTGCAACATGCTGCCTCCACATTCTTCAATTTGCTGCAAGACTTTGTATTAAAAATGCATAACTGCACTGGAGAATTGGCAGGAAGGGAAGCTGGTTGTTTTGGCCCACAGGAGTAGGGAACAGCTGGGACTTTTGGTACACAGACGGGCATAGGAGATGCCTTGGGATTTTGGAATAAACGTGTACCTGCATGTTTCTGCAGAAGTATTCAGCAATGCTAGAGTAGAGAACAAGGCTCACATTTAAGTTCTCGACATTATGCTTCAGAGTTAACATCCAAATCTGCTGAATGGATGTAGTTCCCATGTCCCACAATTACTGTTTCAGGCCATTTACAAACCTGGGTAGACTTCATTGCATTAAGCTTATTTTTGGAAGGTTTTCTTTGCAATGATTGGGTCTTGAGATGGATGATTTTGGGGGGGGGGAGATAGCTCAGTGGTTTGAGCATTGGCCTGCTAAACCCAGGGTTGTGAGTTCAATCCTTGAGGGGGCCATTTAGGGATCTGGGGCAAAAAATGGGGATTGGTCCTGCTTTGAGCAGGGGGTTAGACTAGACCTCCTGAGGTCCCTTCCAACCCTTGTATTCTATGATTCTATGATTTTTTTTTTAATAGGACCCTACTTCAAAAAGACAGCAATCCATAGCATTTAGGCTGGTTACATTCTCAAAGTGTACATAACACACTTTGACCACTGTATGAAGTAAGAGAACAAACAGAATTGTCCTAAACTTATTGCAAGGATTTGTAATATGTTATGCATATAATTAACTTTGAATAGCTTGTAAGAGCCTGTGTAATTTAAATAAAAATACACCCTTTAAACTTACAGAAAACAGCTTTAATCTGGCTATTCATTTATAAAAGATGCATTAGTGTAGCTTAATTTTAGGCTCTCCCTTTGGTTATCCCCAGATAAGATTGTTTATTACAACCAAGTCAGTTCAGTTTTAATTTTATGTTCTGCAGTTATGTAAAATAAAAATTCATGTTTACTGTAACACTTTTGTTATGCAGTCTGTCAGATGTGCCTTTTTCATGCAAACATGAATTTTACATTTTCTTTCTCAATATTGGTATTTTTCCCTTAACCACTTAGCAGCATTTAAAGGTTATTTTAAGTTTCCATGTAGGCGGGAACATAGCCCAAAATAGGGCTACAGAAGCTCTCATTCTACAGAGCAATGGAGCCCGACGAGACTGTTGTGAAATCGAAAAGAGGGGTTCCCCCCTCAAAAGTAGCTGGGTAAAGCCAAATTCAGCTCCCAACTCTTCCTAGGGAGCAGTGTCTAATTCTATCCTAAGGGGCAACTGAGCTCCAGTGAGTGAGCATCTTAGCTGGGGGAGACAAATGTGTGTGGCAGGTTTCTTTTCTACCCATGAGCTACTAAGGATCCTTAAAAGGACTGCAAGTGACAAGAGTAACATTGCTTGGGTTGGAGGTCAGGGACTTGAGTTATGATTACATATTTTTGGAAACCACAGCATTTATAGCAACTTTTTTATTTGATGTTTAAAAGATTTCAAGAACAAAAAGTGATTCAGTGGAAAATGCCTGTTTTATATTCAAAAAGTTCTTTTGCAAGAACATGCATTCCCTACATTTACTGAGTAATCAATTTTAAAATTCACATGCATTTCTGAACTCTTGTAGTATATGTATAATATTTCAAAAACTAAGCAGCTATTGTCCTGAGCAATATATGAAGAGTCGTCTTGTACAGTTTTAAAATACCTAGTTCTAGGACATTTATAGTGACAGTAAGCAGAGAACAAATCATAATAGACTTTAAACATTTAATGTGCCTATTTATCAAGTAAGGCAACAGCTCTCCTGTGAGTAAGTTAACAAAAACATTGTATCAATGTAATATGAATATATTGTACACTGAACCTGTAGTATAGTATAAAGACACATACAAGAAGTGTTTTCATGAACAGGAGGTTCAGACTACATTTGTGTTACAATAAACCAAGCTTGTATTCCACCATCACATGTGGTTCTCCCATAACTTCACTCTGCGATGGGTCTAGGAAATAGACAGTAAAATATTTACAAAGTTAGTAACACTTTGAAACAAACCATCATAAGACAAAATGACTACATTTCCTCTAGATGTATTTGTTTATAGCAGGGGTTCTCAAACTGGGGGTTGTGATCCCTCAGAAGGTTGCGAGGTGGATACATAGGGGTCATGAGGTGTCAGCTCTGTGGGGCTGACAGCCCTGAGCCCCCATTACATTAAATTACCCCCCACCCCCATTTTTAATTTATAAGGAGGGGGTCATGCTCAGAGACTTGCTGTGTGAAAGGAGTCACCAATACAAAAAGTTTGAAAACCACTGGTTTATAGCAACGTGCACATCTTGATTACTGAGAAAAGTTCTGTAGTGTATGCTGCAAATCTGTCAACCCTGTAAATATTTGTTCTAAGCAACAACCAGGGGGAAGGAAATCTGGCAAGGGTTTCCTTTCTAGGGAAAGGGAGGGAGGGGGGAGCTATGCTATGTTCAAGCACCATAGAGTTACACATACAAGACCTAGGACAATAAATTAAGTACAACAGACAGAAAAACAACAAGTTTTAAACTAAGTTGAAATGGCATATCAGCAACATGAGCGTGACAAAAGAAAGATTTTACAAAGTCTTCAAAGTGATCAAAGCCCAGTACTTAGTTTAAAAAAAAAATTAGAGAATAGTTATAACACTAAAAAGCAACAGTGAATATTAGTTTCAAGGGGGTGCATGTGTATAGAAAGAGACAGAGCCCAAGTCTAATAGGTAAGATAGTCTACAAAAGAGAAATACCAGAATGAGAACTTCAAACAGAATATACTAAAAAACCGCACTCATACTGGAGTGCAACCCAAACACCCCATATGGTGCTTCAAGAAGCAAGATTATGCAAGGGGCAGACTGACTCCCCCTTCAAATCAATCCCTGGAGTGGGGGCAATGCACGTTGAGGAGCAATATGCTCTGCCCTAATGGATAGAACAGACAGTGCTCCTTCCATGCACAGTACAAACTGGGCCTCTCTGAGGCACATTCCTTTCAGCACTCCTCCAGGAATATGGAGGCTCCATAATTTAGCCCCAGATGATAAAACCACTTCTCCAATAATTTTTATTGGCATTTATTCTCTTTAACTACTATTAAAGCAAAACTGTGTCTTGTATTTGGATGTGTACCATATCCCCTAACCCATGTTTTACATTTCCGGATAACAAGCAGCTTCACCATATTTATTTTTTTCCTGATACATCCCTTTTCTGACCCCTAAATTTAAATTAATAAAAAACAAGATATTTTAAAAACCTAACTGTCGGGGGCACAGAAATCTTGACTGTTCCCAAATCTCACCTTTCCCTGATAGCCCTGAGAAAATTTTGACAGCTTACAAAATCTTTGAAAGAAAACATATTTACCATTAAGAATATCCTCAAAACCAATGCATTCATCATTTCCTCTCAGTGTATCCAGCGCTATATTTGAGCTATGTAGAAACGGAAGACGCTGGATCTGTGAAAACACAGCAAGAGTCAGAAAAAACGCAGGCTTCTCTATATTCAGGCTTCCCAAGTCCAGACTGTAATTAAAAGTGACAGGCAAAATTCTTTGGGAAATGACAGAATGATAACATGGACTCGAGCGTAGAGATATTCTAGCCTGCACACATTTGTCTCAAGACCTGTCTGGCACCTTGTCTTATAGTCAAGGCATAGGATCTAAACATCAAAATGTACTATTATGAAAAACAGTTTTCAATTTCAGTAGAAAAATATGCCCACTGTTTTCTGCCAAATATCTGTGAATGGTCACTACGAAGTATCTTTACCTTGAGAGTTACGTGATTAATAAACATACATTTCAATAATCTGGTTAGCTACTTTATTTTCAATTTTATTTTTTCAATCCATATATCAAAAGAGAGTAAAAAGCACATCAACAGGCTATATCATTATTTTAATGAACTTATATGGCCTTCTCTAAGAGTCATTTAGGTTAAATTTAGATTATGAATATCATTTCTCCAATCTCCACTAGAATCAGCCTTAATGAGGTCTTTGTCCATGATTAGGGCTCCTAGGCTCTACAATAATACAAATAAACAACAACAAAGCTTGAGATTGGCTCTTGCTCAAAAGGACAGGTTTATGCCATATGAACCATCAGACCACTATATGATTGTGGAGGAAGGAAGGCTCCGCGCGTGTCACAGGCAACTGACTAAAACGAGAAGTAAAGAGCTCAGATCACAAGATGCACATCGGACAGCAACATATTTGGATTCACAACTGCCTTTGACATAGAAAAACTTTACTGGTAAGTTATTGCGAGTACTTGTTTTTTATATATAACAAAGCATAGCTGTCTCTTGCTTGTGGATATACTGGATTTGTAATTATCCATAATATTCGCTAGTACAGCTGCACTTTAATCAGTTCCAATACTAATACTATTCCAACTCAAATGCTGTAAGAAGATTAAGTTACGGTACAGGCACATATCAGTGGTGAGAGTTCATATTATCTTCTAAGAACATTAAAAAGATAACAATCAAAGGCCAACAGGTATCCTAA